GAAAAAAAACCTTTTTTGAAAGGTCCCTTATTCCTCAAAAATCAAGGTTTACAGGAACTTTCAAAAAAGGTTTATTTTTTCCGACAAATGGCCCCATCTATACAGGGTTTCCATTTGCATATCCTCTTCCACAAAAAAAAAAAAAAATGTAGTGTAGACATAGCCTGAGTAAGGTTATTTATGCCACAGCTTAATTTGTTGTCAAAAAACCTTTTTTGAAAGGTCCCTTATTCCTCAAAAATCAAGGTTTACAGGAACTTTCAAAAAAGGTTTATTTTTTCCGACAAATGGCCCCATCTATACAGGGTTTCCATTTGCATATCCTCTTCCACAAAAAAAAAAAAAAATGTAGTGTAGACATAGCCTGAGTAAGGTTATTTATGCCACAGCTTAATTTGTTGTCAGAAGTGGGAACAGGATAACTTATTTCTGTCCAAATCTGAAATCTACAGTATAAGAGCGAATCCTGGAATCTTAAGTAGTGAGAATTTATACAGTAACCTATTTTAAATGTTTAAAAATTGAAAATGCATATATTAAATAATCAAATGTTTATTGAAAAACCCAACACATTTCAGTTTCTTACCTGCTTTCTTTATTTCAGGGATGGTCTTTTCAGAGGATTTCTTTTTTTCCTCTTCTTTTTCTAAAATTTAATTAAAGAAAGTCATTTGATATCTATGAATCACACAATTCAGATATGCAGTTAGCCAATCCCTGGTGAGCACATGCTGAAAAATAATGTGACTTATTTTTTAGTTCAGATCAGATGATTCCCATTTAGCCACTGTACATATCCAGTCACAGAGAAATCAGATCAAATATGGATAATTTGGACCTTTAATAATTCATGAAAAGCCAGGTGAGACTTATCAGTGCAGGAATATGGTACCTTTAATTTAAGTTACCAGATGTAGCCGCAAATCTTATCAAAACTACATGATATTGACATTGGCATGCAGAATATAAAGACATGTGCCCCACCATTTTTACATGTGGTCATATAGTTATGTCCTGTTATACTTGGGATAATCATTAACATTGCCATGGACAGCTG